TTGCCTACCTTGTGCTTCTTGGAATCGCATGTCTAGTTCCTGATACACTATCTGTGTTTTTAGTATCCATTATGCATGGCATGTGTCTGCTTCTTGCTTGTTTATATTTCCTTCAACTATAAACAATTGAGACTTGCTGGTGGAGCAAACTGCTGTCCCATGTAATACATCTTAGAAAGTTTATGTAAGAATTTACATTTTCCGATGTTCAAATCCCTGTCCCAGCAAATGATTCTGATAGCAAACTGCCATGGCAGCAAGACATTGTTTACAATTTGACTTGTTCCCTTGAACAATTGCAACATCAGCAAAATGCCAGGAGAGCAAACCACTGATGACTAAATTTGATCAGGTGTCAATTTGCTGCATTTGCATTTCAATACTCTAGGAATTTCATAGTCCAGGATTTTTTTCTTCAGTGTTTTGTATTTCCTTATCATTTGTTAGGTTCCCAGTGTGGTGTAGTGTCCATTTTTAGAGTTGGATTTTTACCCTCTCCCTAATTATTTTAGTAGTCTACACATCTAGACATAGAAAATTTCAAACCTTGACAGTTTTGCTAGTTACAAATAACAAATGTAGATTATTTCTCTGTGAGGGTTCAACTTTAGGCTCTAAATTCAATTCAAAGAAGTCAGCAGAGCCATGTTGTTTCAAAACAGGTATGGGATTTATTGGAGAATTAAACAATAAGCAAGTATCTGGAACATGATTGTGAGTCTTTTCTCCTTCTGCCAACTGGTCCAGAAGGGGCTTCCAATCATCAAACAAGAACGGGTTTTTATAACTATAGTCCCAGGGTCTCTGTGTCATATTCCCAGGGAGTTTCAACAGGCAACACTCCAATAAACCAGTCCAATATCAGAAGTCTAGAAAATGCAAAGCAGATACCAAAATGCCAAAGCCAAAACACAAACCGTTGTCAGCAGTCAGAGTCCAAAGCCAGGGGTCCGGAGAACAGGGTCCAGGATAAGCAGGAGCATGGATGTGAGCCAAAGTGTTTGAATTGTTGCCTCCACAAACTTGCAAGCCTCTGGGTACAGATTTTATAGCAACTGCAGTCATCTAAACACCTCATCATGCTAAAACTCAGGGCTGGTTGACCTGATGTTTCTATGGGAAGCATTCATGCAGGCTTCGGATCTTCGTGTCATGAGTCCTTGCCGAAGCTTCTCCCTCACCCTGGCTACTGGGGGAGGTGAATCTGGTAGTGATTCAGCTGCCTGTGATTCTGAGTGCCCAGCATTCTCCTCAGCTGTAATTAACCCTTCAGGTTCCAGATCTTCTTCGGCAGAACTAATGAAACCTGGAGATCATTGGAGACCCAGTACTTTACTGTCTGCCTTGTTGTGCCTTCCAACAAGGGCATGGTCTCCTCGTCCAGATCATCATCCCACAAGATCCGTCCATCGGGGTCTCGATTCTCCCAGGGTCTTCCCTGTAGTTCCTTCTCTTCATTTCTCTCACTCTCCATTCTAATCATTGTTGCCTTTCTCTCTCTACTCGTTCCTTTTCCTCCCTTAGTTTCCTTCTCCACTCCCTCGCTTCTGTTTCACCCCAATAAGAGGGTTTAGGGGGAATCTCTACTCTTCTCCTGTAATTTGCCTCCTCCTTTGGCACTCTCAATCTTCCCCATAATCCAGTCCACAGATCCTGCATCCACACCCATTCCCATCCAAGCGGTAACTGTCCTTCCCTCCTTTCCACTTTCCCTGCTCCTGCTTCAAACTCAACCCTCTTCTTTCTCTCCTTTCCCGCCTTGTCTCCCTGAACTTCCCCTATCGTCGCTTTCTGTACATCTTCCATCAGTTCCTCTATCGCTGTCTCCCACAGAGGTTCCACCAAAGGTTTGGGTACAGGTTTGGGGTCCACATCCCCATCTCTGCTGTTGAGGAGGGACAGCTCTCCCACTAGAGGGGTATCCCTCTCTCAGTCTCACACTCTCCAGGAAAAACAATTAGTAAGTGATTTTCTTTGAAAAAATGCTTCATTATCCAGATGCCTAGGTATTTATTTATTTATTTATTTCCCACTTTGTTCTCTGTTTTAAAGATCTTGATGGAGAGATCTGGCATAGAGATTGAAGAAGGCATTACAGTGGTGCCTCGCATAGCGACGTTGATTCGTTCCGCAAAAATCGCTGCAGAACGAAAATGTTGCTATGCGATATTAAAAAGCCCATAGAAACGCATTGAAACCCCTTCAATGCGTTCCTATGGGCTTAAAACGCACCGTTCAGCGAAGATCCTCTATAGCGCCGCCATTTTCAGTGCCTCTAAAGCGAGGAATCCGTGCGAAAACACAGCAGGCGGCCATTTTGTTTACCCAGCGGCCATTTTGAAACCACCAATCAGCTGTTAAAAATCACCGCTTTGCGATGATCGGTGCCCGAAGCAGGGAACCGATCATCGCAAAGCGAAATTGCCCCATAGGGAACATCGCAAAGCGATCGCTTTTGCGATCACAAAAAATGCATCGCAAAGCGATTTCATCGTAAAATGAAGCAATCGCTATGTGAGGCACCATTGTATCAAGAAGACTCATGTATGTTTGTAGTAGATCTGGGGGACTGAAGAAATGGAGATGGACATAATCTGGTTGTTGACAGTGTAGATAACTAAAAGGTTCTTGTTTACCATATTCTTTTAAAGCAAGTTGAGCAGATGAATATGTTAATTATTTAACTCTGGGATTTTTTAAAACAAGAAGATTAGTAAAGAAGACTGATTACGATGGACCAAATGCCTGACAGAAAACTTCCCTGCCACTACTTGTGCCCCCTACAGCTTGCAGCATCTGACTGAAAATGAGTGTAGGTTACATTCAAGAATTTATTGCAATTTGTATGGAGTAACAGACACAATAGCAGTGTGTGAGACAGGGCAAGAGTGGTAGCCCTCTCGCTGGAGTGCCGTCCCACCCCTGACAGACAAGAAACAGATACAGACCTTACCCGTCTCACCTCCCAAGAGAGCAGAACAGTAAGGGAGAGATACACAGGAAATAGAGGGAAAATTACAAAAGTTAATGGTTGAAAGAACGTGGGGAGAAACAGCGGGAGTAGAGCGGAAGAAGAGGGTGGAGATAGAGGCGGGAACGGCAGATATAAAAAGGAGGGAGGAACAGCTACCACCAGGTTGGGAGTGGGTCTCGATGGAGAACCCTTGAACCGGAGCACGGGAAAGATTGAGGGTCCCTAAGGAGCAAGCGAACTACAGGAAAAGGAGGGAGATCCCTCCGAGACCCTCTTACTGGGGAGAAGCAGAAGCCAGAGAGTGGCGGAGAAAACTAAGAGAGGAGAAAGAGAGAGGAGAGAAAGAAAAGAGACAGAGGCTGGAATGGAAGGTGACCGAAATGAGGAGGAAGGGATACAGGGAGGACCCTGGACCCGTCGGATGCTCTATGTGGGTGGATGGCCGGGACGATGACACCGTGCCCCTATTGGAAAGTGAAGCAGGACAGATGGTAAACCCTAACTTATCGTTACACTGGCCGGGTTCATGGAACTCTGGTGAAGGCAACCCGTTCTTAGATGAAGAATGGAAGCCCCTGACTGACCTGTTGTCAGAAGGAGAAAAACGTTGGAACAATTTTGTTAACACCGGTTATTTGTTGAACACACCAATAAACATCACACCTGTTTCTAAATTGCAAAATTCTCCTGATTTATTTGAATGAAAGGAGCCTAAAGTTGAACCCTCACACAATGGCAGGTGTCTGATGTGAAAATACTGCCCAAGAATGCAACCCACTATAAGTAATCCTTAAAAAGACAATAAATGTACAATTAACAAACAATTAAATACTTTGGATCTAGAGTTCTGCATTGAGCAAGGGGTTGGATTCAGTGGAGTTATAGGTCCTGTCCAACTCTATTGTTCTATGATTAATAGAATAAAGCAGTAAACAGTTTCTTTGATAGTTGTGGAAGAATAGATGAGTGTATTTCTTCCTTACAGAATAGATGAGCTCCAGTCTTGGATTCTGTAGGGAGGAAAAAAATTACTTATGACTAAGCCTATTAAATACACCGAGACTTCCCTCCTTCCAATATAGATCAATTAAACCAGAGTAGTAAAAATTATATAATGGTGGATTGGACTGTGCAACAAACATGTTCTTCATAGACATTGACACTATCAAAGCCTGCCTTTTATTAAAACTTTTTCCCATTGTGAGTAATGCACTATATAAGGAATGGGATGGCTGATGGAATTATGCTGTAGTGCTTGCTTGGGATGGAAGCTAAGATACAAGAATGATGAATCAGCATGTCTGTACAGTATTCTGAAATGGGGAGGGGGAAGGTTTTGCTTTTGAAGGTATGGTATTGTTTCAAGCTTTCTTTTTTTGCTTTAAACAGAATGTTTCTTTTTTTTCTCTTATGATTGTTGGGGGCAGATGGGGGATTAAAGTCATGCATTGTCTTCTTAGTAGGTATGGACAAACAGCTAATTGCAAGGCTTTGTTAATAACAGGAAGGTGAATAAGTAGTATAATGGCTAAAATTCTGTTTTGTAAGTTATGGCTCATAAGGCTGATGATGTCATCAGCCATGTTGAATTTTCAGAAATAAAACATTTCCACTCTCCCCACCCACGTCCAAACAAAGGTCCTGAGGCTCCAGTGGAATCCCTTTTGTTGTTTTCAGGATGCTGTTAGGGGCTATAAGTGGGAGGCGGGAATTCCTTGGCAGGTCCCGAAAATTTAATTTCAGGAAATCACTGCCAGCAGTAAATGTTTAAATAGCTTTTGGGTGCTGGTAACACCATTTAAATCTCAGATGAAAATACAGTTGGGGGGGAAGCACTGTATTTCTTATTTCTTCTTAATTCATAAAATTATTGTGTTTATTATTCCTGAAGAAATAATGCACTCTTAGGAAATTTTAATAAGGAACTGTGGGATCTTGGATGTTTGCAACAAACTAGGGGTATTGTGGCTTGTAGAACTTCACAAGTTTTGCTAGTTTTTTATTGCCTTCTTTTTCTGTTTTGCAGGGCTGCCTTGAACTAAGATCATGAGCAGGTAATGCACAAGCCCTCCTCTTGGGAAACATGTCGGACGAGTCAGTCTCAGGGAGTGATCCAGATGTGGACCCGGACTTGGAACAGGAGGGTATGGAAGAGGAGGAGGAGGAGGAAGAGGAAGATGAAGCGATGGAGGAAGATAATGATGGGGATGATGAGGAAGATTTACTTGATGAGAATGGTAAGTAGTGGGTCAGAGAGGCAGTGAATGTTTTGTTGTATGTGTTTTCCATGGTCTGTCAGATCTGATGAAGAGATCCTTTAATTTTATGCAAGAAGGAAATTTGTTCATTCTAGAATGTGTTTGCCAGTTTTGAACATTTTATAGTTGATAGGCTTTATAATGGACTATCCTATTCTTGAATTGGTGACTTGTACTGCTGTAGCTAAAACATTATTCTATTTAGTCCTGAACCTGCCAGAGAATTCCCCACCTGGCAATAATATCTTAGCAGATACTGTACATAGTTTATATACGTAGTTATTTCTGACTGAGATAAACCTCTTCTGAAGCAACCAGTTACAGTGCACCATCTAGTCTTATGCCTTTACTTTAAGGTAGTTGGTAGGTCCTTCACACAGCAGAATTAGACAAATGTGTGGGGCTGAAACCATTGCATCATTACCTGATTATGGGCAGTGTATACATATGGCAGTTAAATAGTCTCACTCTAGAGCAGGGGTGGGCAATTAATTTCTATAGGAGCCACATGAAAAATCTAAACTGTGTTTCGGAGTGGGTAGTAATAGGCCCCCATTGGGTGAGGCCCTGCGGTGAATGAACTACAAGGCTGACATAGTTAACTCCCTAAACTTTTTAGGAAGTGAGCATTGTAATTCGTTCACCCCAGGAAGGGGGGGGAGGGGAGCAAAAACAAACAAACCCTGACACTGAGCTAACTCACCTGTCCTCCATTCCCCCTGCGGCCTGCCTCGCCAATTGTCTTCTATCCCGCGCAGGCGATGTGATGCGTCATCACGTCATCTGCGCAAGGATCGCTTCCGGCCTCTTGAGCCACAGGCTCCGCAGCCTGCAGCTCAAGAGTAACAGTCAAACCTTGTGAGTTTTGCTTACTGCCATGCTGGCTCACTCAGCGGCGATGGGCGGGCCGGACAGGAGCGGCGATGGGCGGGCTGGACTGTAGCGACAACCGGCACTTTGCTCGGGTCTGCTCTAGAGGAAGAGGAAGCAAGCGACAACCGGCGGGCCAGACAGGAGTGGTTCTCGGGCCATATGTGGCCCGCGGGCCACACTTTGCTCCGGTCTGCTCTAGAGGAAGAGGAAGCAATGAAAGCTCACATTAAAATGTAACAGTCTTTAAGGTGCCACATTTTTCTCTGTTTTTTGTTTTTTTTCCTCTCTCTCTGATCTGCTTGCATATACTAAAAATGTAACAGTCTTTAAGGTGCCACATTTTTGTCTGTTTTTTGTTTTTTCTCTCTCTCTCTCTGATCTGCTTGCATATACTACCCAACTACTTCTTCAGAAGCTGGTAATAATTGATTTATGTGGAGGATCATAGACTAAGATGGCAATTTCTTCAAAAACAAATATGTGAGTAACCAAATAGAGAGCTCAGTAAGATAGGAAACCAATTAAGACTGCAACAGTAAAACAAATGTTTACTGCTAGGTAAACAAGGAACCAGGAACAAGGTCAGCTGGTTTGTAAAGTTAGAGCCCTATTTTTAAAAAAGGAAAAGAAGTAGGTATTGGGTTTTTGTGTTTAAAAGTCTGATTATAGTTAAGGTATCCAGCAGTGGGACTGGAGGCGACTACGGATTGCAGGGAGCAGAGACTTTCATTACTAAGTAATTTCTCACAAACCTGAACTCTCACCAGAAGCAAAAGTGACAAAACTGAGGCTGTCATACTTGGAGAACCTCATGAGAAGACAAGAGTTGCTGGAGAAGACAGTATAGTATAGTATAGGCATCCTTCAGTCTAGAGAGACTATGGTAACATGCTCAGAATCGAGGAGTGTCCTCTCCAGAGCATGAAGCCCAGGTAAATTAACATGGAGGATAGGCTGTTACTCAAGCAGCAGATTCCCCCCTCTCCACATTGCTGAAATGGTCCAATGGAAAGGCAAGAGCCAATACAACTGGTTCCAGCGACGTCGCAGGAGTTGGCAGAACGACACGAGCTGCCTTTGGGACTCCAGCTCCGGATTTTGCCTCGAGGAGAAGACAGTAATACTGGGAAAATAGAAGGCAGCAGGAAATGAGGATGACCAATATGCAATGGATTGACTCAGTAAAGGAGCCCATGACCTTTAGTTTGCAAAAGTTGAGCAGGGCTATTTATGACAGAATACTTTGGAAGTCACTCATAGGGTTGCTGTAAGTTAGAAGTGACTCAAGAGCACATAACAACGTCAGCAATAAACATTTTTTCCAGATTGATCAGAATCCTGTTGGTAATTTACACTTGCACAAGAAAAATTGTGTAAGTTGTAGTGACAGATTGCTGCTCATTAGCTAGATGTTGGTTGCATTCCTGGGTGCATGTGTGACTGTGTGCACACAAAGGAACATAAACCTGCACCTTGTTAAAAAGCAGCAGTATCCTGCTGTGACTTAATGCAGTTTTCTTTATCCAAGTGTAAATTTAAAATAGAACTCTGGCTAGTTTGACTTAGATATTTTTAGTGCAACAATGTAAACTTATTTTATGTAATATGGACTACCTGTTGAATGACTGTCTGATCTCCACCAAACAAGGAGTCAGCTTTATACAGGTTAGAGACAGACCAAAATTTATCAAAATTTGGATTTGGATTTTGCCACAGAAAAGGATCAAAATTCTCCTGACTTCTTTGTTCCCAGCTAGAAGAGTAGTTGAGTTGCTTCCTGCTGCGACCAAAATTTATCAAAATTTGGATTTGGATTTTGCCACAGAAAAGGATCAAAATTCTCCTGACTTCTTTGTTCCCAGCTAGAAGAGTAGTTGCTTCCTGCTGTGATTCAGCAGAATCACTAGGTCGGCTGAGAAAGCCATAATTGAATATCTGTAGGTTCCCACCTCCATCACAACTAGGACAGGATGGAGGTATAAAACCTTTAAGATTTGGCCTATTTTTGATTTTTTGCCCTTGCACTTTTTCCATCCTTCCCCCTTTTCCCACCATTTATAACACCATGGGGTACTAACTATGAAAGCTTGCACACCATTACAGTATATGCCTTAAAAAGATTGACTCAATAAACCTATCAACACTGATATGGAATTTAAATAATGGAAAACAACAAGATCTTAAAAATAGTCTTAATGTATGGGCAGTCTTCGCAGACAACCAACATGAATTTGACACAACTCCGGGAGGCAGTAGAAGATAGGAGGGCCTGGCGTGCTCTGGTCCATGGGGTCACGAAGAGTCGGACACGACTAAACGAACGAACGAGATGGGCAGTCTTACATAAGGCTGATCCTTCAGGTATTCCAAAGCGCTATGTAGTTCAGGATCAGAGTATCTGAAGGACAGATCCTCCATGCCTGTAAGAAATGTTTGAATAAACTTGGTTAAGGGGAGATATGACTAAAGTCTGAAAAATCTAAAGAGGTGGGGATGCTCTTTCTGTTCTGTACCAGCATAGTGATGACATTTTTAAAAAGTCAGTCACTTTATTTTGGGGAGAACACTTTGTACTTAGATTTTGTAAAAATTTTATTTTTATTCTCTCTGTTGTGAAAGAGCTTTGGGACATGCTTTCCTCGTGTTTTGTTAATCTAGAATTTTTTTTGTGGCAGGGGTGTGTCGGAAGGAGACACTGGAGACCTTAGCCAAACACACAGGATTCTAATTTGAATTGCAGACAAAGAGGGGGTGGGGTGGAGAATTTCTTGCTAATTCTAGAATGTTAACTAGCTCCTTGAACTATGTTACCTATTGTTACTTAAGAGATTGTTAGGGTGGGGTGTGGCTTCAAGCAAATGTGGAGAGGAGGGAGTATAAGAACCTGTGTCTCTGCTCCCTCAGGGTTTCACAGACTGACAACAGCTTGGACCAGGTTTCTGTTTTAAAAACTGCAAGACTAATTGAGAAGGAAAACCTTACTAAATAGTCTCCTTGTGCTGTCTGGCACAATTTTTTTTCTTTTTTCTTTCCTGAGGAAGTGGCACAGATTCTGCTGGGGTAAACAAAAATTATGTAATCTATAGAAGTGACCTGCATTTACTATTTTGAATGATAGCAGTGATACCAAAGTGTTGGCTGCCTTGAATTTTCAGACTTCTAAAGACTTGCTGCTTTGTTAGGGTAGCCTTACTAGCTGCTTGCTTTTTTATTTCACTTGTACTATAATATGTTTTGGAATGTTAAAGCAAATCTGCATTGATATTCTGTCGAATGATAGACTTCTGATTTTTATCTCTTCATTCCTTGTGTTTGTGTGCTGCAGGGGAGAGTTTGCATCATCTGCTTGTCCCTTGTTCTCTTTGTTGGCAGTTGTCCTTCAAAAAAGTTCTGGAACATAACAGACAAAAGAGTATAGAAATCAAAGAGAGATTTAAGTTAAGCTGAATAAAGAATTGCTCTATACTTCTGTGGTTGTGAGAAGTCTTTCTACTGTTTGTCTAAATCAGAAAAGGTATCAACTTCCCCATATTTAAAAAGGAACCTTTTCCCATTTCCAGAATGAATTTGTTCATTCTTGTTGCCTCATTCATCCAGTGACTTAAGTGATTTTTAATAACCAAACTTTAATGGGGATTTTTGTGTGTGAATATACCCCCCAAAATTCATATAACAATATAAAAGCTTTGTAAAAGTAATTCAGACACATCTCTCACATGGCTTCTTATCACATAGAGAAAATGAGTTGTGAAGACATTCTGTTTTAAAAAGACCTTTAGGTGCTATAGTAATTTTAGTGAACTTTCCTTGATTTTTAAATAAAAACTTTTTTCCTTATAGCTTTATATTCTGGCTTTTTCTGTTCTTTGTTTTTGATGTTTGGTGTCTAGCTGTATCTTGTTTAAAATATTTTCCCATATATAATATTACCCTTTCTTCTTAGTCAGTGTGAACTTTTGGGAAATGTGGGATATAATATTTTAAATAAATAAATGTTTCCCGAGAAACTGTCAACATGATCTGAACTAGAAGATTACCAAGGCTGGAGAAGGTGCGGCAGAATTTCATGGTGAAACACTTGCTTTTACTTTAAAAATCCCAGAGAA